TGTTCATCATTTCTTTGTCGGTCCACTGGAATCGAGTTCGATTTCGACCATGCCGTCCTCCAGCCTTGACGTTTTTTTCCTCGACCGTCCAGCTTCGGCGCTGGCGATTTTTCGCTTCTTCTAAACAAGAAGCGGTTCATCAAAAAGACTGGTTGTGAAAGTTATGAATCCCCACGCTGACTGTCAGTGCTGAGATGGTCATTGGAAAGCCGATTAGTTGTGGGCCTAGACGAAATTTGATATTATCTGATGAGAAAGGATTCATCAGGGGTCAAGCATCCGATGAAGAATTTTTAACGGGAAGCCGTGTTTAGCTTGCTGGGGAGGACGACGGTATCGATCAGCGCTGGCCGCTAATGTCCTGGGAGGGTGGAAGAATGGGGAGGGTGTCGACAGTAACACTTGATTGAGCGTCATAAAATACAAAAGTCTGCAGTGCAATCGCAAAACAGCAAAGTGGCTGTGTTTTACGCTGATCATACACATTGGTACTCCCCTTTCTCCTATACTCCTCAAAGTGGCGCAGACAGTTTAATACTCCCCTTCCCTTCCATACTCTCCCGAAACCTTAGCAGCCAGCATCCATCAATACCCTTCTATGGATGCTTCACCATGGGAGCGCTATTGTGATGGAGTGCGGTACAGCGCGTCAACTCGGTCATCGCGAAGTATGAACGCTGCCTGCTGATGAAACTTGTTATACTGTATACTTTCCATAATAGTGAAGACAACGGAAGGGAAGAAGGGGAAGAAACTATTACTGATTTCGACAATTAAAGACTTCTTTCAACTGGCGCATCGTTTCCACCTCGTGCAAAAGAGTCATTGTGTGTTTGTGTAGAGTCATTGTTTTAACGTACCAACTTCATTCTCAGGCTGGAGAGCACTTTCACAGACCACTATAACTTTGAGTACCATTAAAAATCTGAAAGGGGATGTGGGACCGGAGGATTGGGTTCATCATTTCCTCTGGGACTACCGATTTTACCTTCACGTAGCCGTGTTTTGGAGGCATTCCATGTTCTCTAGAAGGCATTATGGTTATTGAAGTAGAAGTACTGTTTTTCGAAGAAGTAGCTGGACACTTCACGTTTAACTCGTGGCGGTATCTTAGGTGACCGAGCTGTAGCGATACTTGATGCGAATTAGGGAGCGGTAATCTTGCAGTTCGAGCGACGTTATATTCTTGTAAAGGGTGACAACCTGGGCGTAAAATAATTTTTTCCTAGCAGGAAGGAAATCCTCAGCGTCGGTTTATTCAACGTTTTTTCGTCAGAGATTTCATGGTGGTTAGCAAGAGAAAATAGTGTTTTTTAGCGCCACGTTTTTGTTTCACGTCTATATTTCCCAAGCTATGGTTCCTAATAATTATCAGATTTTCGCTCGTTTCCTGAGAGCTTAAAGGCTCTCGTGACGAGGCATCCCCAGCGAGGTGTGTCGTAGGTCGCTGGGAGGAGGGGTTTCTATTAACTTCAAAGAAAGTGTTCTCGGTTGTTGACATTTCTCGCTTTCTCCTGTTTCAGGTGCATTCATCACCCCTTTCCCCTCAGCACACTCCCTCCTTTTTTCCAGCAGCTTTGCTGGAAAAAAGCTGGGAATTTTTGAGAAAAATAGCACCCCGGAATTCTGGTAGCAAGTTAGTGAACTTGAGGAAAATTATAGGTGGGATGTTAGATAGGTGAGGGGATCGTATCAAAAACAAATTGAGAATTGATAGAATTTTGCAAAAAATCTGCTCAGCGACAAAACATGCCTTTTTTGTCGATCTTTTATATTTATTTCATGCATTTTTTATGTTCATATGTAAGTTCGATATATTTAGTCGTGTTTCAAAAGCTGATATTGGTATTGGCTAGGGTAGCAATCATCACATAGTAGAGTGGGGGGTGGGGGTAAGTAAGTTGCCGCCTACTTCTTGGAGGAGTCTTACAGACAGGCCAGTTTTCCTCATCGTGATGCTTGACTCTGATTGGCGATGCTGTTCATGAGTAATGTCATGAGCAGTGTCCCAACAGAAGTTCACCTTCTTTGATAACTTCTATAACTTCCTCTCGCTCTTAAGGCTGTGTCTTTCTCAGAAAGGACAAGATATGTTGAAGAATCTGGACATCATTGTAAGGTAGGATAACCTGGACAGTAGTTTAAGGTGTGTAGTCGTTTTTACATCTTCTCGATAAAATCGTATTTCACTTGGCATAATTGAAAAGAAAGCGATACCGGTTTTGAGTTTTAAGTACTGGCACTTGTTACATCATGAATTATAAATGAAAAATAGTTTGTAACTTACGCGCATGAAAAGCATGACAGCCAAAACTGCTATTAGAGAGATGATGGCGATCACGACCACAGTAACTGTCACGGCAAACGATTTGTTATCTGAATTGGAAATTACTTAATATTTTGCATATTTTCTTGCTTTCTGTCTTTGAGATCCTGCTCTCCTGCTTATACAACTTTATCTTCTCGAGGATCGACTGTAGACTGTTCAGTAATTATCAAACTTTTGAAAGGAGCTACCGTCCGTCGGAAGTATGGAGAGTTGCGCGGTCAATAACAATATTACATAATGAAGATAAAATCTTCCTCTCGTAGTTCAGCACATCCAAAACCATGGTCGAGCTGATTTCCATCATTTGACCATGGCTTTGATCAGTCCTCATTGGCTTACACCGCATTTGCTTTTCGAGGGAACTTGGGAGTATGATGGTCTGACCAATTTTCATTCTATCGCTATCGTGCTTTGAATGGAACAAGCTGATTCACTGAGTATACTTTGGATAATTTATCTCTCCTGGTCGCAATTTAGCCGGAATGTGAAGACTGAGCACCGACTGCCTTTTCCCACCCTTGTCGCTAATTACTCCGGCATTCCTTATGAGCACTAATCAGCTGTTACCAATTCCTGTTACTCACTATCAATGCCCCTTCCCAGTCCTTAAATCACTTAAAACGAGTCCAACGTTGCTCTGGCGCGTGTTGTGGATTTTCGTGGCGCGTCCATAACGTCCTTGATGGACCGCTATCACTTTCTCTCACATATCATACATGTTCCCGTTGCACCATATCTGTCATGTATGAATTCAGACTCCGCAGCTAATTCGACGAAAAGTAGTGAACGAAGTGAATTAATGGGGCGATACACAGCCATCCGTGATGGATTAACTTTTGAAAATGGTCTACTAGAGGGAAAGCCAACGCTTCTGCTCCTATTTCATATTACTGATCTCTGAAATCCTATGGTAAGTCAGGTGTGAAGCCCTTCCCCATCTATGGAAAAGATGCATTCTTGGATTAACACTTGACGGCAGACGGGTTTTTACTTTCCGGCCTCGTGGGACACGCGCGCTTTATTGAACGCAACAAGCGCGGTAATACAATCAAGCCGTCCCACTGAAGCGCTTTTCTGGAGATTGGATCGAAAAACCTGGTTCAAAGAGCGATTGTGAAGTAAGTCAATTATTTACTAGGGAAAAATCTGGGCTGGCCAACTCTCTTTGCACCAGAACCAGGAATTTGTCTGTAACCAATTTTTTCATAAAAAATGCGAATCGTGCTTTCTATAGAATTCAGAATCCTTCACCTTATATTTTTTTCCATCGTTATGAATGTTGTAATTGTCTGTATTTGTTGGAAAAGAGTTTAACAGCAAACCTATCCAAAAATGAGGAGCAAACCAAGTCAAGCTCATAGTGCTCTTTCCATAGGAAATCTTTGCTAAAGTAGTGTGTACTAAATTATTCCATGGACCACGTGTTGTACGAGTATACTAAGAACTGGCCTATAGAACTAATAGGAGAAACTTAACCAAAAATCATGCACCAATGGATTTGTTGGTCGTGGTTCGTATTCAATGCACGCGGTCCCAGTGGCCCACAGAGCGCGCATTAAATGCGTATCACGCTGTCGTCAATGTTTTAAATGTATACATTTATTAAATGCGCTCATTAGGTCAACCCTGCGTCCTATCATTTTTTTTTGTCTTCGCAAACCACTGCGGGGGTTAGCTAATAAAACCTCTGTTTGCCCAAAGACCCTCCCTCTAAGGTCTTTATTGAACTTTAAAGGTGTTATTACTCCCTGTCACCCGCGAGTAGTGTCCCCGTTTCACCACTTATATAATCTGTGGGAATCAACACCCCACTGTTGTTGGGACACGCGAGGATTTGGTCGTTGGAACCAGGGCATATCATCGTCGTACAAATCTCAGGGAGCTCCGTATTTGGACACTCGGCGGCGGGGACCGCGTGTTACTTAGGAAGAATTTTTCCCGGTTGTTGATTGTTCCCGTTTCGCGCGCGCTATATTCCCTCTCTCCTTCCTGCGAAATTCCTGCAAACAAATTTGGCGAGAGTTGGGTCGCGAAAGGAGGTCGTACCGAAAAGGAAGACTGGATGGGATCCATATGCTGCAAATATTTTCCACAACGCGATATGCTCCCTGATTAAAACACTATTGTACAGCTGCGTAAAAAAAAGTTGGAACAAGTTAAAGGACGGAATTTTCTATCAAACTATTACTTGATCTTCTTTGACTTAAGTGTCGAAACATCGTTGATACAGATGAAGAATGCCTGGACGAACTGTTTTCAGATCTGTTAAAATGACCCTAAGCAAACACAAAAGTGCGTGAGACTTAGCTTCTGGCACCCAGGGTCAGCATCTATGACAAAATAACCGAGTAAAAGCCTTCACCTCAACCCCATCAGGCGCCTTTGGGATGACTTGAAGAGGTCAAAGGGAAGAAGACCACTAACTCGAGTGAGCAGTTGCATTCTTTTGGGAATTTGAAGCTGAATACCCCTGATGCTCCTATGAGTCGATCCCGCGGATAATGAAGGTTCTATCAAGTCCAGTAGTAAGCAAACCAAATTCAGGGCGCTGAATATTTTTTCTTGATGATTCCCACTATCTTCTCACCTTTTCACTGTTTTGCTGTTGAACAAGAGCTTCAAAACTGTTTAAAAAGCGATTTTGTGGCCTATTCCAAGTCTTTTTCCGCAGTTACATAGCATGTTGGCAAGGTTGGCTGGGTGAATGGCTAAACCTTTTCCCGTGGTAGGGGTTGTTCCTTTCTAATGAGAATCCGATCCAGCAGTAGAAGGTGTGTACATAATCTTTTAGCCAGAAACAATTAGCCGAAGCAATACCATTCTGCTGTTCCATGGCGTTCTTTGGATCGTTTGCTTTGTTGAGATCGTAAACTTCACGTCGTGGTTCTTCTTTAAAGAGCGTATCGTTCGTTTTTGCGCCGACGAAGAGATCTGGCTGAAACGGAAGCTCTTTAAATGCTTTGTAGTCGATTCGCTTTGTAGGCAGCTTCTACATACAAGAGTGAACGGTGTGGTCTCTTCTGCAGCGGTTACCCGTGATTCAGTGGTGCTGGTCATTAATGGAGTGGTGGTATCGAGTTTCTCGTCGTAAGGCTGTAAAAGCTTACAATTTTTACGAAATGTTTCCCATTACAGAGGGAACACCAACTTGTAGCTCGTTTGTGTCGACGTCCAGTAGTGGTTGATGTCGTAACGTGTAAGGTCGATCGCAGAGAGTGTCGTTCGCGTTTTCAAAGAGGAACTCCTTGCCCTCCTTGGCAGCAACTTTGTATCGATCCTCAACGGCGAAGATAACTGAAATGCGACACCCTTTGTTTCCGATTTTTGAGTTAGAATTGGTTTGTTTCTAGAACTTACGCTTTGCTATTCCTGAGTCACAAAGAAACGGATTCCCGGATATGTCAAGCCGTTCAAGTGATTCGAGATCTTCAATGATCTAAAGTATGATCTGAAGTTTCGAATTTGATTTGGATAGGGGGTTCATACTTGTGGTGCACCCCTCTCATAACACAGTAAATCTGAGAGGTAAAGGGGAAGTGGTCAGAACGTCCGATAGGTCACCACCAGCCCCTTTACTTATACGTCATGAGCGCGTCGAACGTCATTCTGGCCCCTTCGTGTGGTTTGAATCGATCGAATTTGTAAATAACGACATTCCAACGGGCACCATTAGGCTGAACAGAAAGACTCGCTAAAGTGGACAATTTATTTAATCTTAAAACGTTTCCAACGTTCAGTCCCCTGATTACTGCATGGTGTTCGTGGAGGGACAGGTTTATAATGTCTTCTGGGTTAGCTTGCAGTGCTTGGATGTCCTTAATGGATCACGCTACTTTTCTTCTTAGTAAACGTTGAGAGAACATCTTGGCACAAATAGTGGATTACTATGAGATCCCTCGGGTAAACCGTACACGTAAGCCCAACAGCACTGCTCAAGAAGAACGTTGCCGCAGAACCAAAAATAAAAATACATGGGAAGAAGATTTCGCTGGATAATGTTGAGTACTGATGCAGCAGTTACGGCCATTGTCTACACTAATAAGCTTGAAAAGAGGACCAATGTCACGCTTTGATTCATTCAAAAACTCTCGATTTCTTTCAGCTCCACGGTGACGCGCACTTTGTCGTAGTGAAGATGACGAGTAAAAAACTGTTTGCCTCTCTCAGGGAATATAGCCATACCTAGCTTATTCATCAGGAGGTATTACACTCGCTGGCCTCACTTTCTTAGGTCCTTGATGCTCCTTTTGAACTCTAAAAGAACCTCAGTAATCGACGTTGACTCGATAACGAGATCGGCCACTTCTTGGCATTGCTGTCGCCCCACTGCTGGATGAGCAGGATCCGGTAGATACCTAACGGAGAGCACGAGGCCTAGTTACTAATGATGGTTGTCTTCGTGATTGAAGTCTCCATTTCTATGGAGGAATATCTAATCCGATATTTCCTCCCAAGTGCCGCAGGTCGTTTTGCTCAACTTAGTATCAAATGAACAACTTTGCAAATGTTTTTTATTCTCGACTTCTAGAAGGCTTCAGAAATCCGCTGATGGTAAGATGAGGACATCATAAATCAGTTGACAGAACCTATACGAGCTTCTGATACTTATAGTCAGGAAGTCGCTGCATTACTAAAACTAGTCAGCAGTTCACAAACAACCAGGGTCACGTAAGAAGTCCCAGTTTTCTGTGAATGTCACATCTGGCGAGCTTACGAGTGCTAACGGGGAAGGGCAGTGAACAAAGGAAATTGTGACGGAGGCACGTGAAGGAAGCCAGAAACAAAATGCGGTGCTTGACCCCGCGAGAGCAAATCTGTAGCAAAGTCCATGCTTTTTGAAATGCTCTCTAGTGGGGATCTTAATCTAAATCTGTTATTCACTTTTTTGTATTTAAAATTGACTTTCCCTCGACACATTCCAAGAACAAGTCCTGAACGGCCTTGAACATTATGTCGATACGTAGACGAGCGGGGTGCGCGTCTACGTGCCCCGTTCGTCTGCCGTAGGTGGACACCCTCGCCTTTTTTATGAAAGACGCCGAAATGGCGAAAGTGAGCCGTCTCTGCGGCTGCGGGTCTGACCATCTTATACATGGAACTACGTCTCAGCTGTTACGGAATGTGTCTGTGGGATGCTGAGTCGGCACAATAGCTTGAAATGACCGAGCTCAAGACAGGCTTAGGTATCCTAGATTGAAGAGGCTACGTTGTGATAGAATTTCTTCGAACGAACGAGCATTTCCACCACCTTAACTCTTATGCTTTGGAGGCAACGGACGAGTTTCCGCCCAGAGACCTGTATATGTTGCTCCAAATGATGACTTATGGGCTACCCGAAACGAGTTTGGTGGTGCAGTGGTGGCACATGCAATTTCGTCAAGATAGTGCCTTTCAAATGCCTCTGCAATGCGAAGTGGGAGTAAGAAGCATGGCGCTCACCAAGAAAAGGTCATTTGATGATAGCTAATTAGCTGCCTATTCAGTTAAGCATGAAATTGTGTTCTGAGAGCTAAGGTTCACGAGTGAGTGTTGTTATAATGGTGCAGAAGGACTCAAATGTGAAGTGTTTCAGAATTTCGCATTAACTAATATCTTTTGAACTGGCAGGTCGTCAGTAAAAAATGTTGCGCATTTCGGGAAGCGGCGGGGACGTTCTTCTTCCCGATGATGTTTCTGCTTTCGCAAACGATCGCGAGCAAGTTATAGTTGTTGAGAGCTTTAATCAAATTTGATAATTCTGGAACGCTATCGAGACCCTACAAGGGCCGTTCAAAGTATTCTCGGTATCGGTGTAATTTAGCTGTGACGAAGGAATTTAGTGAGGGTGTAAATAAGTTGTCTTCACTTATCATCAGTGCTAATCTAGTTTTCCTTGGTGAAAGAAGACCTTAATGACTGATGCGACAATGTTGAGAAAATGATCACTGATTTGAGAAAAACGAGAAAAATGAAAATTAGAAATGAGAAGAGAATTCAGAAAATGATTAGTAATTGTTTCTCGTTCCCCAACCTAAAGAAAGATCTTCGTGGAAATCGTTTTTCTGACGATGAATAGCTGAAGGGGCGACACCTTGGGAACGAGGAGGAAAAATATTTTCAGATGGTATTGAAAAGTTGGCCTCTCGGTCAAGAACAAGAAAGAACAAGTGTATTGAGGTTATTGGGGACTAGAATAAAAATAAATTCCATCCAGAGATTCCTGCCTTTTCCTTCATAACTATGCCGAGAATACATTAAACACCCCCCCCCCCGAACCTTTAAGGGGGAATCCTTCTAATACTGCTGTTTTCCATATCCCTACGGAATCCCTTGTTTCTCAGGAATACTCTAGACGTGATGTTTTTTTTTCTGTCTTTCGAAAGCAGCTTCCAATGAGTCAGTTTGAATAATCATTCGTACTCCGGAGTAATCAAATAAAAAAGGCATTCGGGTAAAATACGGAAATTATTAGTCAAAGCCGAATGCCTGAAAAATGAAGTCATACCTTAGGATCGAGAGTTTTCAAGAGATTCCGTTGGAGATGAAGGCTCTTCAGGGAGTGTTTCTGACTGACAAATGTGTCGGGTTTGAGTTGTGTCAGATTGCATTTGGCGACGTCGAGTGTCTGAAATTTTGACAAATGTCACATTCGCCGCAGTTTTTTCCCAAAATAGGCAGTTCTATGAGTTGAGCGGTAATAAATGTAGTTTCCGCATTTTATGATATTCGTAAGGGTATTTAGTACCGTCGAGACTGTTCTTGTACGAAATATATTTCACGAAGATGTGTTCATTGTCGTCAGCAACTTTAATACTGCGTGGATTTTCTGAAATAATCCCAGGGGATTCAAGGATGTTTTTCGTAATTGGCGTAAGGAGTTATTCCATATTGAGGTTGAGCGCTAATTTCCACTCCCATTCCCAAGGTTTTAGCCATATTGGCTTAGCTGATGATTTGTCTTCGCGGTGGTTCCCCCTCCCCCGTCCAAGCTAGTAATAGTATTACATTAGGTTAGCACGAAATTGCTGGTACATGCGCCATATACGCGCTCCTCAGATTCGAAGGAGTCTGCCCCCCCCCCCTCCCCATGGTATGATATTCTGAACAAGAAATATCGTAATCATTTCGCGTGAAAACAACATCACCATACAAATGTGAAGGCAGTATGATCGATGTTTGCCCAGAAATTAGGTGCGCCGGCCCCTTTAAGGCATTCACGAAGCTTTTTTCGGCCAAAACAATTGTGATAATGTCTGATAATTGTGGCGAACCCTTAAACGTACTAAAAGAATGATTAAGCGTTCGTGCTTAGCTGGACCTTCATCCGGGAACACCCGAGAGTGAGATAAACCATGTTGAAATTCGGGAAACTTGGTCTTAGAATTATTGATCATTGGCAAAATGAATCTTTCTGCGCTGTAGTCTTTGAACAGTGCACATCTTGAGGATACCAAAGAAACCGCCATAGATGTGAGCTAAGTATTTGTAAAAAGCAAATGCAAGCAAAATACGAGCAGCAGATTCATATTCCTGTAACCTTATATGTTCTGAAAGGGATTTATGGCCATTGATAGTAAATAGTGGCAGTATGTGAGAAATGTTTGGCGGCAATTTCGCCCCAGGCTTGTTTTTGATTTGGAGCATAAATTTTGGGCACTATTCAACTATTACTACCCCAGTTTTGCGAAAACAGGCCGGATCTTGATCGACTTTTTTCTACGGGGGTGGATTTGGCTGAAAAGTTGGGTTCTAGGGGTAATTCGACCTCTTGAACACGAATATCACATCCACTTGACCTGAAATCGCCTGGCGCCGCGCCATAGGCGCCAGTGATTTGGGGCATTTTGGCGCCGGCGCCCGTAGCGCGGACGCGGAGCGGTTTCAAGCCGAGGGAATGTGATATTCGTGATTAGGAGGTCAAACTACCCCTAGGTACAAGTTTTCAGCGGATTTCGTGATCTAAGGGTACTTTGGCGCCAGAGCCTGTGGCGCGGGCGCCAGGCGGGTTCGAGAGGAGCGGATGTGATATTCGTGTTCAGGAGGTCGAATTACCCCCAGAACCCGACTTTCAGCCAAATTCACCCCCTTAGAAAAAAGTCGATCAAAATCCAGCCCGTTTCCGGAAATCTGGGGTAGTAATAGTTGAATAGTGCCAAATTTTGTATCCGTGAGAAGTGATTAAATCTCATACGAGTTAAGCGCTTTACAGCAAATCTTTTTTTTCAATGATTATGCTCCCTTCAAAAATAAGAGAATTTCTTGACCGAGAAACCAAAGTATCACTGCAATAAAATTAACGACTGGAGTCAGTTCGGAATATGTTCAAAATTTTCCTGGCCCGCAATCTGGTTGCACTTCGCAAGGCTCCATTATTGCATAAAGGAGGTACATAGCTCGAAGACAAACCAGCGACTACAGATTGTGGATAGTTACGAACTTACGGTCAGAAAATGTCTCTTTAGAGAAGAAAAAAAATCACAAAAATTGTGGAGAACACCCTGAGTAAGGACCTGGCCACATCCACAGACGAGTTTTCCGGACCTGCTCGTTTTATGCCAGCAAAGCGATATCCTGCCGCCTCTGGCTGACTAACAATTTCTCCGCATCATTCAATGCTCATACCATCTGACAGAAAAAAAAACTAAAAACGCGGTGTAAATTTGAATTCGTGGCAGAAGGAGTTGTGTTTTGGTGGGCGGGACAAGTGGAGAGGCGTCACCACTTTCGGAGGCCGCAGCGCCTCACTGCGAAGCCGGGGCCAGACCATTTATACAAGGAAGGACGCTCACAATTTACGTGAGCGCGTGGACTGCCTTTAGTTCGCTAATTATCGTGCTCATGAAGGATGATAGTTCTAGGTCTATTCAGAATACTCTCTCCGTACACATTGACTCAGAATCATAGAAGAATATTGCGACGTTCTGCGGGTGAAAAACGCAGATGTGATTTCATTCTTTATTTACTCACTTCACTCACAGCTTTTCAAGATCCCTCAACTTTCTTCCGGTTTGTTCTGCCGCTTAAGGTCCCTTCCCACTTTTCAGAACATCAGAAAAGAGGTAACTTTAGAAATTCAAGCTAACCTCCAATGTGGGATAGTCCTTCAGTAGTTCATGTCCGATGTTCTCCAGCGGACATTCGCTGAGAAACAGTGCACGCAAGTTTTTGAGACCGGTGGGAGGCACCTAAATAATGGAAAGCATCTGAATACGGAGTGTAAGGTTTAGTAATATGGACATCTGGAAATGAAGTGCAAAGTGAGTGACGTATGAGTATCTCTCTAATGTTCTCACGGTCTTCAGTGGATTGTGACGAAGGTTCAGCGTCATAAGGTTATTGCTAAGCGGAGAGAATGCGTCAGGTGACAGCTCTGTGATTTCATTCCATCCAAGATCGACCTCCTTCAGACTGTCTAGCCCTGTCCACATCTCTTTTTCGAACTTTCTATAACATTCCTATTTCTTTATCCATAATGAGGGTAGTTACATTATTTCTTATCGCAATACAAAGAAGTTTGCTCGAACAGTCATTCTTCTTTACTACAGTTAGAACCAGAGCAGAATATAGAAAATAAAGTGATAGCCCAGCTAGGCTGCGCTCTTACCTGATGTAGTTACCGGCGAGTGAAAGCCTAGTAAGTTGAGACAGTCCATCGAAGGCATACGCGGAAACATTTTGGATTAGATTCACTCTCAAGTCAAGCTGAAATACGGCTTTATTGATTCCTCGTTCAATACTTAAAGTTAATGGTGGAGATCGAATGGTATTCGAAGAAGCCCTGCAGTTTCTGAGAACTCTTCCTCAACAACGGACGCCCCCCTCTCACCTGCAAAGCAGTCCAGTTCCTTCGCTCTGCTCTTAGGTTTCTGAGTTTTACTGCTTAAAGGCATGTGGCACGACAAATCCCTGAGACGTATGGGATTAACGCGCGTAGCAGGACAGAAGTAATGACGTCTTAGGCGTTTTTTTTCCAAGCGAGATACCCTGATAGCGCCCTATCAAGCTGCATCATACCGACCCGGATGCCCACCGCGCTCGCCCACCCACAAATGGACGTCCGTGCCTGACGCTCGTATCGCTCATTTGCAAAGTACAATATGAAGCAAAGGGAGTGATATGAAACGGCTGCGGATATATAATGGATATATAAGTACACACATGCAGACGTATCTACCTTAGCGGTGATTGACACGACGTTAACGAAGAACTCGTCGGGAATAGTCCTAAGTTGGATAGGACGAAGGCTTTCGCAGCTTTTTGACCGTTTCACTTCGCTTTTTCGTCATCTTCCCGCTAAAAACGCCTTGCTAACATTGTAGGCGTAATACGAGATTATATGCCACCTGCCTCTAATATTTCCATGAGTAGGTTATAACGAGTTAAATTCATCCTGAATGGCCGCAGATGCTCTTTACATGTGAGTCTCTTTCGAATGATGGTGTTATTTTCTAACCCAAATTGGTGAGGGACTTGAGCTAGCGTCCATTGTCTTCATATATGAAATAGAGCGGTCTCTTTCGTGAACGGAGATAACTACCCCTGGAAATTCTTGATCAGGAGTAATATTCTTAGAATTAGAGTGGTTTCGTATCGATGTCTTACACATTCCAATAAACGGTTGACCGGATGTGCCACGCCTAAAGACGAGATAGTGTCTGCGACTCCAAGTCCTCGATTTCTCCACCTCATCCCAGGTGCATATAAATTCAGGTGCATATTCATCAGTCGTAGACAGATAACCCTTCATCAAGAAAGCTCGGAATGAGCTGCGCAACCTGTCATTCTCATGAGTAGGCTTTTTGGCTATTGCGAAATGCCCAGCACCATTGTCATTCCATTTGCTTGATGCACTTTACTGAGCTATTGGTGCTTAACATATACAAATGAAATGCATTCATTTGAAGATCAAGAACAAGCCAATACCTGGTCTCACCCAATTATCCTCCATGCTGAGACTCAATGAAAGTTCTTGCAACTTTTTTCGTCGAGAAGTTTTCGTCGTAAAATCGTAGAGAAGAGTCCAAATGCTGTTCGACTCGAACAATTAGCATCATATCACACTCAAGGAGTATCTGGGCAAGTAGTGGAAAATGTCTACCATTTGTTGACTTGAAAGGCTTGGGTGAGATGGAGCTTTGAGCTGCGCAGGGTGGCCACAGAATGTGGCATAAACGTAACTGCTTTGACGTACGTGCCGGACCGATCTTCTCGGTTGCGATAGTGACGTCGTACCCATTTTTTATTTGCGAAGCTGTCTATATTTAGGCACTAGTTCCTTCTCGCGACAAATATAGACAATTTATATATCAATGTGATTTTCGTGTTATTTAATCAGTTTACTTTTATGATTATAACATTGATGTTAAACCTTGGTTATAATATACACATACTGAAACATCTAAAATCTTAATTTTATTTTTATATTTTATTTATATATCTTTTAGTTATATCTTTATATGTTTCAAGGAAGTAGTCTAGTTCCGTTTCGCACGTGCCCTTAGACGGAAGCTAGACAACCACGGTTATCCTCCTCCCGTGCTCATCAGTAAGGAAGCGTAAGAACACGAGGTTTAAAACGACAGAAATCAAAAAAGTTTTGAAAAAGTTTTTTTGAAAAAACGTTTTAGGAATACTTAATGTTTTGAAAAATTATTCAAGTTGAGTTTAAAGAATTTTTTACCTGGTAATGAGGGCTATATGTCTTTCTATAAAATTTTTTAGTAGACAAAGTCCATATTACCACTCCGCCATTACCTTTTCTTCTTATCCTCGTCTTATATATCAAGTCGCGCTAGAAGTATAGCTTTCAGACAGCTTTGCTCCCAGTTCAGAAGTCGATTTGCTTTCCTGTTCATGGAAACGCCTTTTTGACATCAATCTTCACACACTGCCCTTGAAGCACTGCCATTTTCGAACTGCTGGGAACTAACAGACAGGTTCTGTTGCATGTAGCAAAAAGCGTCTATCAGTCCGTCGGGCACACCAAGTTGTCCACTAAATTAAGGTCAGGAGACTTAAGTGACCTCATGTTCTTGTCCTAAAATTATTGGAAAGTGATGCTGACGAAAGGAAATTGTTGACTTTGGCCCACGTGCTGATTTAGATTCTTTTTAATTCCATCCAGCGATGTGCTTACAGGATTATGGCGGCAGTTTGCAGTGCACTCAAAATATCATTCTAATATGTTTCGGCACTACGAGTGGAATTCGAAGCATTCTCGGTATCCAGACAATTTAGCAGTGACGAACGAATCAAATCATTTAAATAGGTAGCGACACTCCCCGAGGGTGTAAATACAAAATCTCGTTTAGCTATCATCAGTGCTATTCTAGTTATCCTTGGTAAAGAACACCAGAATAACTGATGCGACAATGTTGATAAAATGATTGCTGCTTAAAAAATTGGGAAAAATAAAAAAATCGAGAATATGAAAAGAAAATCGAGAAAATGATCAGCAATTACTTGCCCCAATGTGCAAAAAAGATCTTTGCGAGAAGCGTTTTTGTGACAATGAAGCTGTAGGCGGCTGCCAACGCACATTTTACATTTTGAGAAAAGGAGAAAAAATATTTATAGAGAGTTTTGAAAAGTTAGTTTCTCTAGCAAACATTGAGGTCATGGGCACTACATTAAAAAATGAACTTTCTTTCTGCCTTTCCCTTCATACCTATACCAAGAACACATTGAACATTTTCGAGACTCTAGTCATTCTACCAACAATGACCAGAGTTGTGCCGTAAAATATTAGGGTGTCCAGGAAGTTTTGAGAAATTCCAAACAGCTATTCAACACTTATCAGCAACAGTAAGAGATAGGAGTTCATAGTCATAATAAATATTGTTCACCCTATCTCCCTCACCTACGGACGGGATCACCTTACGTGGGAGCTAGAACGAAGCGAGTACTGAGGATGCGGGGGCGTACGCAGCATTTAAGCGAAACTTCCACGTAAGAAATCAATTGATCCCCTGTTACAGATAACTTTAAAGCGCATTTAATCCAGCATCGGAGACGTGCCTCGCTCCCGATTTGACCGATTGAGCAGCCAGAATGGTGAAGATGAATAAGAAAGCGTTGGGGGTCGAGCGCGCTGGTACATTCCCCAGGTGATGTCAACTCATACCAACAATGGAGAATAACACCCATCTACGAACATTTCTCTTTCTCATACAGCACAATGTGTGACTTTGAGGCATTCGCTTGCAACACTTCTTTTGCAACTGAGTGTGAAATTTTCTCAAAACTTCCCGGACAATTTAATATTATCTCACCCAGGACCTATCTTCTGGTTTCCACTCATTGTCTTCTGAAATTCCTCCCAACTGGGCGTAGTAGTTGTCGAGTTGATTTTGGCTGTTTTGTACGAAATCGACGGTTAAAACTTCATCACTGCAAATGATACCCGAAAGTGGGCCAAGTCTAATTGCCTGGAGGACTCTCAGCGTTTCCCGGCCTGTTTTTCTATGCAGCTTCTATAAATATCTATACGCTGAGGAAATTATCGGTATGCAAATGCAAGTCCGTTTTGATTTATTTGAAAACTCTTTTGCGAGATATCAAGATCCCAAGTGAGTTTGTTCGTGCGGGGTTCCTTGCTGCAGCGATTCCAACTCGTAATCGTCTGTCAAATCCGCGGAACGCTGACGGCTCTGGTCAGCCTGTTTTTGGAACCAGCAGATTACGCATCCTTCGGCTACAATGCGGCACAACTCTTTTTGGGTACTGTTTTCAGTAACGCACCCTGCGACGCGGCGACCATCTTTGCTCGTTAGCATTACTATTTGTGCATGGGCCACTCCTTTCGAGGATGTTAAAGGGAGTCACGACAAACTGTCCCCCCCCAGAAAAAAACGAATGTACTGGCATTAAAGGGCAGGAGTAGGGAGGTAAAAAAGGGGAAGAAGCGCCTGACAATGTCCCAAATAGGGTCGTTATCAACAGCTTCAATCAGGACGTGGACCAGCATACGCCTGCGATAGATCATAGTTGGTCGACCCTCGTTAAGGAAAAATTATGGCTACTGCAAGAAGTGGAAATGCATTATCTCAAGTATAAGCAAACCTTAAGACATTGAAAAAGTGTCCAAAAAACATGGACATACTAATGACATGTTCGTGAAACGACGGTCAAAGATTTGTGGGAACAAAGTAAAAAAGAACCAAAAATGATGAAGGAATAAAGTAAAAAAAGAACCAAAAATGATGAATAGTCTAAAACTTCAAAAAGATGCTTGAAAGAGAACCTATACAGAAGGTTTTTTTTCGTCACCAGTAATGATCTATCTCTTAAAAGGGGGCTCTGGAGAAGATAGAAAAAATGAGGGCGAAAACATTTGAATGGACCTTGTTCAACTGCTAACGGTGCGATCATTTGTGGATCGCCGGTTTCGGTGGGCGCGTTGGCCGGCATGGCGCGTCTTGTAAAGACGCTGTAGTTGCCCCTTTCGTGAGAAAAGGCGCCACCCATGTAAAACTGGAGGACTCTTGCTTTGTAAACATTTGGTTTATCGCAATTAGCTGCATTTTGCCGACAAGGAATGAGAATGATCACTTGAAAGGCACAAGACACGATGATTTGGTACTCTGTACAAAATGGTGGCACGGGTACTATGTAGTGGGAAAGGTAAAAAAGCCAAGGGCAACAGTCAAAAACCTGCGAAAAAAACCTTCGTTTTACACAACTCAGTAAGCAATTTCGGACGAGTTTCCCGTTGGCATCATGCCAATACCCGCTACAGTAGATGCGGCTGCATAGTGTCCCATGTATATCCGTGCAGCACCGCAGCCGCTTTATATGAGTCCCTTCGGTTCATATTTTACTACGCAAATGAAGCGATACGAACGACAGGATAGGTCGGACATTTGGGGGCGGACGGCACAATGGAGTCGGTATGCTGCAGCTAGCTAGGCCGCTACAAGGGTACTTTTACTGAAAAAGCGCCACGGAGCGCCTGCTCAGGGGCGCCGAATTTTGCCCTGCTAGGCATATCAATTCTACACGTCTTGGAGATTTATCGTACCACTTCCTTTAATTTGGCGGTAGGACTGTTTTTTGCACATGTTCATCAACGGAGTTGATTCATTTACACGCGTTTGAAATGATGTGAAGAAATCTTAAGATGGGATCATAAAATTTGCATGGATAATCACGGGTACTCTAGATACTCCTCACGATCACGCTCGGTACATTGCCGTTGCTGGGCAAATGGTGCCTACCTCCTTCAGATTTTTCAGAGCAGCAAATACTCCCGGTTCTAGAGACGAAACACTGCATCCGCTCAGCTTGAGCACTTCAAGATGTTCAAGCGAATCAAAAACTTCCGTAGGCGGTTCGAAAATTCCATCAGCGCGAGAAAGGTCGAGAGTCTGAATAACACGAACGTTTAGTTTCTAAAAACTAGTGAGAAGAATGAGATTTGCAATTACCTTAAGTGATTTGAGAGTCACTATAGCATCGACAACAGAGTCGTTAATGTAGTTACGTTCTCCGAATATGAGTGTTTCGAGCTTTTTGAGCGGTTCGAAGGAGCCAGCATCGACTGTGGTGATAAAATTACCGGACAAATCAAGATAGTTGAGCTGAAATGGACCTATGCTTGAATGATGAAGTTATGAACTATACATGGTTTCCAAAAGCGAATGAAAAGCAAACCACAAGATACATTAATTGACCTCCCGTGACTTCTCTCTTGACGCGAAAAGCTTTCGGTCACAAGAGAGTTCGTGCTGGCTCTCAAAAGGGGTAGACTGCATTGAAATTTTTTTTGAGATGTAAAGAATGTTCTTGCGTTTCCTGGTGCTCCGACTTCGAGTGATTTTCAAGCACGTTTGAAGCACATTTCTCGCCTTATTCAACAGGCCGATCGAATTTGTTGCGAGGTGATTTTCCGTATTTTTCAGGCGGTCGAAACCAATTGGACCAGCGATAGATACAATCGCTGTTTCTATTCCGTTCTAATCTAAAATGGCCAGGAAAACTAAATAGGTTCGGCTATAAGCGAAGCGTAGGCCCAGGAAAGGCGAATGGACGTACTGAGCAATGGTGGTTCAAAGGCAAAATCTGCCATAATAGATGGTGGGTAATAGAGCTCGAGTACGAACGGCAGGATACTAACCTTAGTGACTGAAAAACGACAAATAAGCAGAAAAATGAGTCTAGAATACCCTTTATAGGGCCCTCGGCTGATGCTAGATGGTACGTGCATATTGTGAAGAGAAGGCGTGTTTGTACGAAATCTCATTTGTTGTTGTCAATACGGTATCATCACTCCTCCCTTATGAGCTCGCTCTCACCATTTGGAATACAGAAAGTGAATAGAGCGACTACTAGGTAGTACGTAAGAGCCAGCGAGGGTTGGCATGGACCTAACTGGTCAGCTTCTATCGGAGTTCTTGCAAAATTTTTCTTTTTGAATGCAATACAGCCTCTATAATCGCCTAGTGGATCATCTGTCACTCTTGAGAGTTTATGACAGTTTATCGCGGAATGTGCTTTTAAGAAATTTCATATCGGGATGGGATATCACCAAGATATCGGCTTGGTTGGCGGCCATCAGATGCTGAGAACGAAAAATTGAGTGCTTAAGTTGAAGAGACTCCGCGCACGACATTTTAAGGCGCTGCTACAAGATTGACTCCCTCGATAAGGACGGTTTGTGCGCCTTGCAGGAGATGGACAAGTTGAAGAAGCCCAATAAGTGAGTGCCGCACGGCTTGAATTGGCCGGAAGTGTAGTCATTCTGAGATATCTTCTAGCCTGCTTGCACATGGCAACGACCCATCTCTAGATTGTATTATGACGTGTGATGGGAAAGGAATTATGCACGACAACCGGCGGCAAGTAAGAGGCTAGTCGTAAACCAACTCCTTCAACATTTCCCCTAGCAGCGCGGAAAGAAAGTTGTTGTGGCTGTGTTGTGTGGTGGATTTAGTCAGTAGCTGGCCTAATCTGTCTCAGCATCATGGATTCGGACGAGTTCATTACACCTGCGAACTACTGTCAAGAAAGTGACGAACGCACTTTTGACTGCAGCTTATGAGCCCGGCACTGGCCAACAGGTAGGGGGCAGCCTTACTGCTCGATAGCGCTCGGTCCCACATCGCACAGCCTACCTAGAGGTAATTAACCTGGTCAGGCTAGGAAAAGCTCCAACATCTGCTTTATTCACCAGACGTAGTCCTCATCGATTACTACTTATTCAATCACCTTGACAGCTTCCTCGTAGAAAACTGCTTCGGGAATCCAGCATGACGGTGCTGCAGCTTTCATTCGGATTCATCGTCGCTAGATTTCCATACTTCTATACAAACGGATTTAGCAAACTGTTGGTGGTGGTATGTTTACACCGTGTTTTTCATTCTTTTGTTGCTACTTCGGTTAGTGAAGTTTTATTTAAAGGCACTTTCCGCGAAAAAATATGTCGCTCCGACGGAGGCCACTCAGTTGTTCTTAGTCGGGGCGGCGGGCATTGCTAATGCTCATGGATAATTCTGCTCCCCTTTATTACAGTTTACTCATTGGAGGTATATACATTCAATTCAGCTCATTTCGCGAGGTGAAACGCGTAAAAAGCACGAGTGACGCAATTTTCGTGATGCAAAACCTCGACGCACAAAACGTGCGCTACAGTAACCACAAATTCAGACACGGCGTTGACAAAATTCCTTTTTCCTTTCAAGAATTTTCCTCTGCGTTTTTGTTGTTTTCTTTTTGTATTCTTTTTTTTTGCACTGGATGATATCAACTACTGGAGATGTGATAGAGAGATTTGTGAGCTAGGGGTTGCACAGAGACCGCAGGGAGGTGTGACTGTGAGGGAGCGATTTTGCTTATGTTGTTCTGGAGGACGCTTCTTGCCTGTTTTCTTCTTTGGGAGATTACTTATCAGCTACTGTTTCATAACCGGAAAGCAGCTATCCATGAGACTTTTATCGCGGGAGCTGTCTTTTAAGACAAACCCCGCGATTCTACATTGCACTGTACGTTGTCAATACCTGCTCGTATGCCCTGCCGCCGCTGACTAATAGCCACTTCGCGTCATCCCACGCTAATACCATCTAACGGGAAAACGAAAAACACGGTGTAAAAATTGAACTTGAGGCAGATTTAGCCTTTGAGTCTTGGTGAGCGGGGCAAGTAAGGAGTCGTCAGAAGTGCCACTTTTGGAGACCACAGCGCTTTCGTTACTTCCTGTGAAGTCCTAGAGAGAACCAGACTACAGTGCAAGTAAGGACGCCTACGAATCGCTCAAGTGCGTAGAGAATAAGCGCATTCCAAAAGATGTTTGAGGTTGAAAACCAAAAGAACATTTGTCAAAAACTAGTGTTCCATTTCATTATGTCGCCTCATCTCATTGTCTGTGCTACCCTAATCTTGCACCAAATGGGTCAAGTTGGATGCTTCGAAAGGCGTAGAGGACTACAGGTTTTTTTTGGATCAGACGTCATCTTGAACAGGCAAATCTGAAAGCTGGAGCAAGATCGTTTAGCCACCATCCTAAAACGTGTCAACTCGAAAAAAGGGTACCTAGATGGGTTGGCAAATCTATGGAAAGCTACCCCCCCCCGTCGATAATCAGCGCTTAGGCTTGGCTCACGAAGTTCGAGGCCCATACTAGCGGAGTATTTGCTAGATAGTCGACTTGAGGCGCTGGGGTACTGCCACCTTGACTCAGTTGACTCCTACGGACTCCCAAAGATCCCTTTTATGGCGCCTCTTACCGCCCTCGAGATTTGGGCAACTACTTTCTGCATTTCGCTTTGAACGAATTTCATTGAGGTTTCACAGTCACCTCGTTCTTGACCCAACTTTTGCAAAGTTTATGGTTTTTCAGTACCCGACATGTATTTCAAATAAAATCTTTTGGAAGCCCCAATGGTTCTTTGCTCATTCGAAAGTCTTATTCTCATCCAAGATGTTTGTACGGTCAAGGCTGTGAATGAAAACCTCCAAAGAATTCCTTGTTTCTGGAGAGAAATGAGGTCACGATTGGACCGGTTCTTGAATGAGAGAAGTAGCTCATGTGTTTCGATTCGCACAAGCATCTTTGAAACCAAGATTTTAGGCCTGACATGTGAACCAGTAGTTCCACACTGTGAGGTGGTAATGGTGGATTTGCTTCTCAGGGACAAAAATTCGTGGAGAGATTTATGAGCTGTATACGTACGCGGCCGCTGTCATTAGTTCACGAGTGACCAATTCCAGTGGTCGCGCAATGTTGAAGGGCTGGTGTCTTCTCAGTGTAAACTCTGGGAATGAGTCAGTGAAGCAGCACATTGCAGTTGCTACATTCATAAATTACGATTACGATCAGCGGCGGGTATGAATGGAGTTTAAGAGCAGAACGTTTCCAGGACCGAGGTACCCTATGAGAAACCATGCAGAACAAGTGGGGTAGAGGTAAGGCAGATCTATGATTCTTTTAGGAGAGACTCGATCTCGCAATTCGTTCGTATACCTCTCGCAAGGTATACGAACGAATTGCGAGATCGAGTCTCTCCCAAAAGAACGTCGCTTATTTTCCATCCCTTGAGAGTTCGATCAAAATTCCTTCAAGCCCGTTCTTGCGGTAGGTAGCTCTGATAGGTGATCGGCGAGCGCTGATAATCGCATACGCATAAAAATCCTCTATGAGAGAGAGTGAAGTCGAAGCCTAGTGCATCTCGATTGCGTAGACACAGGTCAGTTCGAATGAATTCTCGGCTAACTTTTTAGGCAGGGATGGCAGAGCGGCTAAGAGTGTAGGCTCATATCTGCACTGTGAGCCACTAATTCGATCCCTGCCGGGGCACACTAAGACTGCAAATATTGCAAAAATGGTGCCTCTACCAGCGTCAGACCGAGGATGGCAGGCCCGCTGATGGAGAACCTCGTCAGAGCAATTATGACAAGTCGCAGAAGTATCCTTCCTAGGACCCTCACCCGAGTGCTGTGGTTAGTATACGAGGGCTACCGAGGGGTAAGCGACCTCGGCCAGAGAAGCTATTTTGAATTCGGACCGTGAACGTGTTGTTGCCGCTAACTAGTATACGGATAAGTAGCACATTCTAGACTGCCGCTTTCAACGCATTTTTTTGAGCAAACCCAGTGAAACACTTCCTTTGTGTTCGTTAGCGTAGTCTCTAAAGGACGAGGCGTACTTGCTGAATCTTTCGGAAAGGCGACACAAATCCAATTTCCACGCAAAGTAGAGTACAAATGCGTCCCGTTCTACAGATTCTTTGAAATGAAATGAGCATCCGACAAGGAATTAGGCGTTTTTACTATGGAACAGGCATTTTGGGCGCAGTTTGCCGACGGGGGCATGTTGTACTATCACTTTTATACTTCCCTAGTTCTGGTTTACAAGTCTCACTCTGGCAAAACCTGTGAATTCTTGCGAAGCTGGTGTGAGCTCATCTAGCCATCGTAAAACCTGTCAACTCGTAAAGAGGCTGCCTAGATAGGCGACACGTCGATGGGAAGTGGCGAAAGTGCAAAATGCCCCCCCCCCTTGTCGTCAAACTGCACCGGCATTTTGCCATGAGCAAGAAGTTGTTGATAGAACCAATCTCCTTTCCCTTTGCCCCTGAATGTCTATCTAACTACGTAAACTGTTAATATGTTCACAGCTATAACCTGAGCTAGTGCCCACAGGTACGCTAGAGAAAGATCGGATAGCAGTTAGCTTCACAATGTTAGAGCAACAGTCCAGACAGGTTTATCAGGTTTTCTGTGTTTCTTTACTATATAGGACTGCAACAGTTGCATGGGGACTGGATCGCAGTAGACTGGCTGTAAAGCGATGAGTTAGTTTATGTGGAGGAACTTTAGCGAGCAAGTTTAGTACTACTGCAGTTGTAGGCTAAGATTATCATAGAAGAAAAAATTGGCACGTTCGCATGAGTAAAAGCGAAAGAGGCGTCATCGGATAGGGAAAGGAGAGAATCGAGGGCATTCATGATGTGGCGCCGATCGATCCCCGGAATCAATCACAGAGATATCGATCTCAGACTGTGATAAGTTTTTGTACAGCTGTGCCGGTAATTTGAAATTGCAATGCAGAGAGATGATCCTGAGCTAGTTCTGGTGATTACCCAAGGTTTTCGGGCGACTTCGGTTCTATTGGATGGTTTATTACTGTTTAAGATGGGACATCCGCTGGAATCTTGTACAGCTACTGCTTTTTTCTGCTTGAGTTTTAGCATTGAAAAAGAGTTGTCAAGAGCTAGTCTCGGAAATTCCAACGTGAATGGGCAAGTAGCAAATGAGAACATCGACAAAAAACGGAGAAAAAAAAGCCAATTTTCCGTGGACCTTAATGGTCTGCTAATTAGTAGTACTTGTTAGATGCACTAACCTCTTTCTTGTTACTGAGCCGTGGCGCATGAACGTGCTCAATTTTATTATTTGCCAAAACAAGTGTTTCAAGTAGTTTCAGATCATTGATAGCGGCGGGGATTTCCTGAAATAAGAAGAGGTTTTCATTTCGATCTTCATGTGTGTGTTGAGAAAGTTTTGGCTAAGGCAGATGTGCGTGGCGCGCTGCAATATGAGAAACCGGCCACGGTGTGGATGGGGACGAGCTCGCACACTACCCCTCATGTGACTCACTTTTAGGCTACAAGAATCGATCGTGAGATTCTTCAGCGTGGATTCCAACCCTTTAAATGCTTCTTCCGGCACAATCAATGGTTCAACATTCGTACATTCGCGGATTTCGAGGCTTTCCAGTGCAGGGGCTAATTTACCAAAAGACGGTAGACCAGAATCAGCAAACTCGATATGTTGGAAACTGATCTGAATAGTGAAAGTCAGGAACGCTTTGGGAATGTGAAAGGACACTACCTTTGTGGTGGTGAAGTTTGCCTTTTTCACCGCTTCCGTAGCTTTGTCAAGATGTTCTGGACTAGAGCCATATAGACATGAAATGTAGACCTTGTCTTTATCATGAACCTAAAACTTTCATCCTTATGAACACTCAGAGCTTGGAGAGGGTGGAAATGGAATCACCATGATAATGAATAGTAAGTGTAAATCTCAGCGGCTGTTTGGATGTCATCAAATGTTGCCTGTTACTCAAAGGAGAAAGCCAGGACAGAGATAAAAGTTATTATCGAAGAAAGTTAAAAATTACCTTGCAAAAACATAGCAACAAGTTATTCAAAAAATCAGCACTGGTGTCGACTTCAGCCTCTAAGACATCGAGATCCGGACAACCGGGAACCGATCCAATTTGTCGGGTCGCGACCGTGACCGATAGCACAGCGACGACGGCGGCCACAAAGAGCCTCATATAGCTTTTATTCAATCACCAGATGATAAATAGCGATGAATCGATGTGGTCGTGCGGTGATAGATGTGTATGATTAGGTGGTCTCAAGGATTGGCAGCTCGTGCTGTGGTGACGCGAGTGTCCTCATTGGGTGTGTTGCCACGCCCCACGCCGGTAGCCCGATCTCGTTCGTTGTGACGATGAGAGAGTGTGCATCTGTTGGAGAGCCGACGAAGGGACGATCCTGAATCTCTCTTTCTCCGAAATTCTTCACAATTGATATGTGTCAAAGTTCGTGTTCAAATGCGCCATCGCATATACGATTGGGTTTTCAAAGTATGAAATGCAGTGGGTATTCTGCGTAGGTAGAAGATGTTTCGCATAATATCGGAACCGTTTCGAAGTTGTTTCCTTTTGATAACCGCTGTTTATGCCGCAGTGCACGTTCCGAAACTTATCAAAGAGTGCTGAGGTGTGGGCAAATGTCAGGCCACCGACAGGACTCGAACCTGTATCTCTTGCTTACCGGAGGGTTGCGTTATCCATTACGCTAGCGAGGCCGCTCTTACTTTCTCAGCTCAACGGCTTTTTACATCGGAACCGTAGAAATGGTGCTATTCTAAGAGATAATATCTCTGGAGGCGGAGTTGGTGTAGTGACGAGTGGCACGCTTACCACTCGCGCGTCCTGGTTCAAATCCATAGTCGACTCTCACCCAGGCCAACCAAGCCTACTACCCCCGGGAACGGTAAATTGATACCAGATTCGTTTGGGAGGATGAGAACAGTGTCTTGAACATTGGCTGACCCCCGCAAGTCAATGTATAGACCACGTCACATTCAGTAAGCCACTACAATATTGAATGGAAGTATAATGCTTGCGCGTTCCCACGAAGGGACTGATCAACGGCGAGGGCTTCATCCTTTATCCTTCAAAGGCATATGGCACGATAATTTGGTACTCCGTCTAAAAAGCTAGCAGGTTGCTATGCAGTGGAAAAGTGGCGAAAAAATGAAGTGAAACGGTCCAAAACCTGGGAAGAAAGGCCGTCATGACTTATAGTTAGAAAGTAATTTCGCACGAATTTTCCGTAGGCGTCGTGCCAGTAACCGCCACGGTAGTGCACTTATGTACACATATATCCGTGCAAAACCGCAGCTGCTTCATATAAATCCCTTCGCTTCAGATTTTACTTCGCTAATAAAGCAATAAGAGCATCAGGTACGGTCGTCCGTTTATGGGTCGGTATGCTGCTGCTTGATAAGGCCTTACAAGGGTACCTTCTTTGGAAGAGGCGCTACGCAGCGCCTGCTTAGGGGCACAGTATTCCCTCCTGCAAGGCGTGTAAGTCCTACTCGTCTCTAGGGAGTTATCAGGCCAGCTGCCTCTAATGTCCTTGTAAGCTACGTGTGGATAAAGGCGCTACCATGCAAACAAAAACCCTTTATAACCGCGTTCAGAGAAGTCGGAGCTCGTTTGCACAGAGTGGAATGGGCAGGCTGCAGTATTGGCTAGGCAGTCACTTTTGCCTATGCTTTTGCTTATATATGTGCTTCAGTACTGGGAGGGAACTGCCGTCGTAGTCCGCAGTGGAAGCAGCATGTGCAGAAAAGTGTGTGATGTTGCCTTTACGTCGTTTTTTCGTTTCGCCGACTGGATGGTGTTGTAATAAAAAACTAGTTCTCTTCCTCAACTGCTGCGCTCCTTACTACTGCCACTACGGTACTCTGTCCTAAGTGGAGAACAGCACAATTTTGTTATTTTCCTTCATTAGAGGCACAGTGTGGGATGACAAAATGAAGGTAACGGCGTTCAGTTATGGACCAGGAAAGTTTATTGACGCGCTCGTGAAGAGAAAAGCGAGAACAAGGTAAAAAAAGGCCCCTAACGAGAGGGCAAGCATTATGCGAGTCTACCGTAGATATCATAACGATATCATATCAGTACTTTTCACAATCACTTTCACCCTTGAGACTCACTAGTTTCATCAAATCATTTTCACCGTTGAGATCCTACCCATTTGCCGTCCTATCCTACCTTTACCGACCATGTTAGTCACTTTTGTAAAGTGGAAGGGACCCTATACCAAGGTACAAGGCGCCTTACGTCATAGGCCCACGTCACTGTTCATGCACTTCGACTGACGAAAGCGACACATCCTTGTTGCTTTAGACCTTTAGACCTTATGTGAGGAAGGAAGTCTTGTTATCAGGTAGACCTAAGGGAGTGCATCTCAGACAGGATTCAGTAACCAGTTCTCTGAAGCATTAGGCTGGTCGAGTGGAATTGTAATGACATGTTTACCATAGATGATTTGGAATTCCGCTGTCCATTGCTTATTCAGATATGTTCCACCAAAATCGCCTGTAGAAGTAGAGAGATGGTTGTGTGAGGACAAACCGATGATCGAAGATGAGCTCAAAAAGCAAAACAACCTTCTCGCTCTGCTTCATCGCCAGGTATGCTCTTTCCTTTCACAGTGCGCTTCTTGAGCAAAAACGGAACGGTGGTAGTCACCGGAAGCGCAAAATACCTCTGACAAGGGAAGGATGGGAGGTCGAAGTGGCCATTTGAAATGAAATGTATACCGGCTGGAAGGTCTTCGGACGGGAATTACGAAACCGTCATCCATATCTGCTGTGGACCTCCGAGAAAGAAGTTGCGGATTTTTTTGGGGGAGAATACACTACGAATCGTCGGCGTAAGGCTGATGAGATCGTGGCAGCAGGGCCGAGTGGATACGTCGTAGAGCTCACGGAGGCGTGGGCGAGGGTTTGGACCCTTGATGCGTGTGCTCTTTTGCATTTTTTTCGAAAGGGTTTCCTGTGCACTTCAAAGCTATTTTGCATAACACTTGTCCATGATAATGTCGCGATGTAATAATTCTGAACTGATGGAGCCATTGCGAACCATTCCATAGAGATCACATCTGGCTGTTGTCTTCTTCTTTCTTTTATTTGAAAAGCATATGCAACAAAAGTGCATTCTAAAGGAAGATTTTGCCTTCGAATGTCTTTACTCTCCAAACGACATGACTGGAAAACGAATCCGAACGCACGAAGTTGTGCACGAAGATGAGTATGGGAAAATGCTTCCATATGAAGTGGCGTTGATGTGACAATCATGCAGCTGGAGATCGCGATGGGCAAGAGCTTTATTCACCACTCACATAATGTTGAATTATGTCTATCTCGAAGTGTTTTCGTATCTGCTGGAAGTTTTAGGCTCGTAGGACAATCTCTTCAGCCAGAAAATGTTCTACATAAAATCGTTCGCAATGGCTCCATCAGTTCAGAAACATTAGGTCACGAAATTATCGGGGGCAAGAGTTATGGAAAAGAGCTTTGAAGTGCACAGGGACCACTTTCGAAAAAATGCAAAAGGGAACGCGCATCAAGGATCCAAACCCTCGACCACGCATCCGTGAGCCCTACGTCGTATCCACTCAGCCATGCTGCCACGATCTCACAAACCTTACGCCGCCAATTCGTAGTGTATTCTCCCCCTAAAAAGTTCAGTAACTTCTTTCTGGGAGGTCCGCAGCAGATATGGAAGGCGGTTTCGTAATTACCGTCCGAAGACCTTTCAGCCGGTATACATTACATTTCAAACGGCCACTTCGACCTACCATCCTTCCCTTGTGAGTTACAGAGAACGGGATCCATTTCAAAACGGGTTTTCATATCACTATGCTCTATTTCGATGCATTTGTATAGTCAAATTTTTCTTCATTAGCTGGCTTCTCCAACTGCTCTGTTTATTTGGTGAAATCTCACATGTTCACAGAACAAAATCCGGGTTCCTCATGGAAGGCAATCACGTGGTAGCCGGTTTTTTTTACACGAAAAACAGAATCACTATAGAAAAGAATTCGTACCTTAACTCACAGAGAGTCTCGGCGAGAACTTTTTTATCAGGTGGAAATAAGTATAATAGAATGTACAAGTGTGCATTAGTACTTCTGGTACAAACTTTTTAGGGCACTATTCAACTATTATTACCCAATCTTTCGCAATCAGGCCAGTTTTTTGCCGGCTTTTTCTATGAAAGTGTATTCGGCTGAGAATGGGGTAGCGATGCTGAACACGAATATCCATCCACTTGGCGAGGAACTGCCTAGCTCTAGCGCCACTGGCGCCTGAACCAAACACTGCAAATTGCCAATTTCTGAGACTTCTCTCCAGGTTCTTCGAGCGAATTGCATGCCCAACTCGCTACACTATCAGCTCCAGGCGCTCTTCCAACCTTCACTGTTCAACTCTCGGCGGACATCGTATTATTTCCAGGGTGATAGTACCCACTGTCGTCCCTACTTCTGGGCCGTCTTCGCGGAGGATTCTTCGTTCAGCCGTCAAAGTACACGAGGTCACATCACGTCACGAGGTGCGAAGCGACCTTATTAAGCCGAGGCACGTCGCGCTAACTGCGGTTGGCCCCGGTTAGAGGAGAAGTTATTGAGCTATCCAAATCGGCACGAATCCATTGAAAACTCTCGGTGAAGTGGGTAAAAGGTTGCTATATATTTCAGCCATTTATTAGTTGATTATTATTATTATTATTATTATTCTTATTATTATTTTATTATATATTATTCTTATTATTATTATTATGTTATTTATTATTATTATTTATTTTACAAGAATGCTGAGTTATGGGCAAAGTCGGCCACCGGGCGGCGATTCGAACCCGCATCTTCCGCTTCCGTGCGAATGCGTTCCCTATTACGCTAACCGCAGGGCCCACCTTTGAACACTCAGCTCAATGGCTATTTTTGTGCCATTACCTTACAGCACTCACACGTTCAACCGTGATGAGCCGGTTAGCGATATAGGCGTGAACCGCGAGGCTGAGGCTTTTTACAAGTTTCAAGCTGTATTGTTTTGTTACTGCCCTGTTTACCGCCGCAGTACGCGATCGAAAAAGCTATACAAGAATGCTGAGTTATATAGTTTAGTAGTATAGGAACGCATTCGCACGGAAAGCGGAAGATTGCGGCTTCGAATCCGCCCGTGGTCCGACTT